GTGCCATGGCGCGGCCCTGCTCCCGGGGGTCGCCGGCGGCGCACCCCTCTTGCGCCGAGGATGCCCCTACACTGCCCACTGTGACGCCATGGAGCACCCGCAGCTTTGCCGCGGCCACGCGGGTGGAGCCCCAAAAACTTGCGCCCCATCTCCTGCCCCTCCCGCCTCCTACCCGTGTTGACAAGAACGCACATGTAATCGCTGAAATCGCTGACAGTTACACTTGACAAACATCCACACACAACCCCCCCCCGACACACACATACAGAGATGCACACAAACACACACAAAGAGACGTATGACTGTGCATTCCAATGTTCATGACATGCAGCTCACCTGTCCGTTTTCAAACGTCTCGTACTGCTTCCACAGCAGCTCAAGGGAGTGCGTCGGCACGGCTATGGCCCGCTGATACACACGCCTGCGGCCAGTGCGGCGATCACAAAGCACCAAAACGTCAAGCAGATCGGACAGCGCTGTGCGGGCCGCCGCGCGGCCAGGCGGTGGCGTACAGCCAGCGAGCGCTTGCCCAGCGGCTCCGGGGCCGTTGCGCGCGCCGCCGAGGGCGGGCCGCACCCAGAGGACCACCAGGCAGCGCGGTGCACGGATCGCCAATGGGCGGCCCTCGGAACTCCGCGATGGTCACCAGGCAGCGCGGCGCGCCCGCGCAGAGCCGGGCTTGCCCCGAGACCCCCCAAACCCCCGGCCGCTGCGCCGCCGCCGCGCTCCCCAGCCCACGCCTGTCGGCCGCGCCGGCCTCCCGGCCCCCCGACCGCCCACCTGATCGCCGCCCCGCGCGTGCCCTCCTCTTGGCCGCCCACCATCCCCGTCGTCCACAGCGCCGCATACGCGGGCGTGCCCTGCTTCGGCCCCGTAAGGAACGACAGGTAGTCCTGCCACAGGGGCCCTGAGATGGAGAAACCAATTGGATGAGAAGAGAGGCCCGGGGACGGGGGCAGGGGTCAGGCGCAGGGGTGGGCCCCCAAAGGGACGCGCTGAGAAGACGGGCGTGCGGGTGCCGGCGGGCGGGGCCTGGGGGCTGGGGCGTCCACGCTTTTACCCCAGCGCCTTGGGAGGCATCAGTGTCAGGCACATGTGAGGCACACGTGTGTGTCACACACACGTACACTCACACACACACACACACACGCCCACATATGCGCGTGTGTGTGCGTGCCACCTCGGCCGCCCACATGGGGACTGAAGTCGCGGCAGTGGAGGGGGTTGGGTGGCGGACGCGTCCATACCACCTACCTGAGTGTATGTCGTGACCTACATGATCCAGGGTGAAGTCGTATGCGCTGCGAACCTCCAACACACCCTCGCCCCCGCGCGCCTCGTTGACCTGCGCGCCAGGATGCGGCCCCGGATCGACGCTTGCGTCGGCGCATGCGGGCGGTGGTGGTTCAGGCGGAGCCGCGGGCAGCTGGCGCTGGCGCATCGCGAGCGGTTCGGGACCAATGTGAGATGATCCGCTCGCGTGCCCGCCCCGACCGCACGTGGACGCCGCGAAGCATGGGGGACGGCGGGGGCCTCGCCTTTTTGATGAAGCGGATGTATGCAAACCAGAGCTCGGTGCTTTTGCAGGTCATGAGTGACCGCGTGAACGCCTCGCGCACGCCGCCCGCGTCGCCAGCGGCGAGCATCGCGTCGGCGTAGCGCGCCCACAGCTGCGCCTGCGGGGCGCAGGCGCGGGGAGGATGGGCCGCCAGGCGCTCTTTCAAACCGGGGCGTGGCAGCCGTGCCGCGCTGCACGTCGTCGTTGCGGCTCGAGTTCGGGGCAGGCTGCCGACGCGTCGACGTCGTCGTTTTGAGCGGAGGGGTCACGCCTGCCGCAAGCTCATGCGTCCCAATCAAGCGAGGCGGCCAGGTTTACCGACGAAGGGAAGGCCGCCACCGCAAGCTCCCAGGCAGCGCGGCAGTCGTCCGACCGCGGGCAGCCGCGCAGGTCGTCCAGGAAAGCGCGCCACTCGTGCAGCTCAAACTCGCCATCTTTCAGGCGCGCAGTGAGCTGCCGGGCCTGGCCATAGCAGAGTTGCAGGTCCAGTTTTGGCGTGCGCGGCCGCTTGGAAATTCTGCAAACACACGCTTGTGATCTCGGCGCTCACCCGCTCCAGCACGAAAGACCCCGGCTTGGACATGACGCTGCAAAGATCCACCACCTTCTTGATGCAACAGCCTTCTATGATGCAGTCTTCGACATGCTGTTGAAAGAACCGCAATCTGCGCTCAACACCACCGTGTGGCTTATATCATATGTGTAGTTACCGTGTGCATGTCAGTTCCGATGTCTCGCCAAGGGATTGTGCGCACGTAGACAAATTGACAAGCAGCTGCAGGGTCACTCGCTTGCGTCATCCGGGTGAGCACTCGCTGCAGCATTGCCTTGACTGCCATATCACAACAGGGACGTGCCCCTGCCCAACCCGCTTCAGGTAAGGCCCATAAGGTTCTACTTGGCTGCTCAATTTCACCATGGCAGTTTCCAGACCCCAGGAGAGGCATCCGAAAGTAGCACCCCTGGGGGGTGTGCCCCCCCGGCCATCAAATCTATCGCCGTTTCATCCTGTGCAGCGTCTGCGCTGCGGTCTTACCCAGCAGGGCCTGAGAGACAGTCCTCGCTGCACAGCGCTGTTTGAGGTGGCTGGCTTACAGTCACAAGTGCAGCAAATGTTGCAGAAGCACCAGAACAACACACCACCACAACCCAGGCAAGCAGCAGCGTGCGTCAGCCGCGGCTGGTTAAGCAGTGAGGTGCAGGGGCCTCAACACATACACACCCAAACCACGTTGCTGTGTCATAGCAGGTGGGGGAGGGAGGAGCGAAGGGCCCTGGGTTTCTAGGTTAAAGACGCATGCGTGCATCATGTGTGGGTTAGCGAATCCCTAGCTGGGCATATCAACGGCGCCCACCGAGGGCTCTCGGCGCTTGCAACCAGAGATGCACTCCGCACAAAGATAGTGTTGCAGTCCACATATGGGAATTTTCGCCGCCTCTGAGAGCGAGCCGCGGCGGGCGCATTTTGGTCAAGGCGCATGGGCATGTCAGCCAACCTTCGGGTATGGACTGGACGGTGCCGACAGGGCTCGCGGCGCGCTGAATCAAGAAGCGGCGGCCGCTTGCCTTAGAAATCAGGGGGGACACATGCAGCGCTCGTGTGTGTGGCAAGCTGGTGAGGACAAACAATACCCTGTCCGGCCCAAACCATAAGGAACGGTTGCGGCCAGGACAAAACGGCCGAGTTCAAATATTTCAAATCAGCCAGGCGTCCAAGCAGCAGGCGTCAAGGCAGCTGCCGTTCTTGCACAGAGCAGGCCCTGGCTGCGAGCTTGCTTGCGCTTGCAATCCCACAACACAAGCAGATAAGGGAATGCAACACACATGGGTGTACGACTGCTCACAATTCCATGTGCTTTGCCTGCGGGAGCTTTTCGTAATCAATGGCGCCCCACCAGCAACACCCGCACTGAGCAGCGGGTGGGTGGTGGCAGACTGTTCCGCGATCATGAGGGGAGAGTAAGCGCCAGCAAAGGGCAGTCCATGAGCATTCGCTCCTTGAGTACTTGCACAAAAACGGCGATCGAAGTCCACAGAATGTAGCTAGCTGGCGGCGTATGCATCCACGTGCATGCGCCCCAGTGAGGGGTGTCCCGCACGCGCAAGCAATGTGAGGCACGGCGGCATCAGGCGCGAGGAGGCAGAGGAGGGCCGTCGCGCTTGCAGCAGGGGGTTGGAAAGCTGGCATTGTTTCGAGGCAAAGCTAGCTTAGAATAAACAAGCGAAGGCCGAGCGCCTCCCCGCCTGCCAGCGCCTGTTTACCAGCGGCCCCACAGCTCCATCTGAGAACAGACTGCGGCAGTGCGCGATTTCGTGCACAGAAAAGCAGACAGCAGCTGCGGCAGCAGAATGCCAAGCAACTCTGGCGGTGGCTTCGATCCCTCAAGGACTATCATAAACGCCTGTGGCGTGCAGTAGCAAGGTTCCGTGGAAGAAAAGCTGTTCCACGCTCCACGCACGCCTGCCTTGGGGATTGGTAGCTCAGACCAGCTGCCCCATGTGGTTCTGCAGCTGGGGTTGCTCAAACTTGACACCGTTCAGCCTGTGGGGCCGAGGGTGAGTGGGCGCATGCCAGAGCGTCTACAGGTGCATCGCGCAAGCCGCTGTTGGTCACGTAAAAACTTGCTTGCACAAATTGGTGCACTCCCACAAGCCGGGAGCCATCGTAACATGTTCTCAACAAAGCTGCGGCATCCAAGTCCAGCAGGGCAGCACCTACGGGGCACTGGTGATGAGTAGCAGCAGGCCGGAGCCAAAGAACTTTACATTGATTGATACTACCAAGTTGCATGCCTCTCCATGCACAAGCTCACCTCATGACATCATCCAAGAAATTGAGCCCAGCAGATAACAGCTCCCGCTGCCGGACAAACTGCCTTGGCCAGCTTCCGCAGCCTGCCCACGCCATGAATCCACGATGCACGTAGTGGCTCGAGCGCGTTGCTGACAGGCTGGCCATCCAGCTGGCCCGCACAGCTGGCAGTCCACCTGGCATGATGATTGGGCAAAATGGAGCGTGCTGGCCCTGCTTGCTGATGCACGCATGTTTCTGGCAGGAAAAAGCAATTAGAAGAGAGGGACTTGATGTTGGTTGTTTGATGTGCTGTCGGACGGGAAGATATGCACCAAGGTCACCAAGGTCGCGCACACGCATGCACACACAACAGCATGAGGAATTAGCATCTGCCCTTGAGTAGCGTGCTTCATTTCAGAAACACTGCAGCATACCCCACTGGATTGCATACCAGCTGATCAGGCTGCCAAGCCTCCCGCGTATGTAATGGAGCGCACAAACTTACGCACGTGTTTTGATCCGCACCCGCCTGGTCCAGTTGCCAGCTTGGATCAGCACCCTGCGGCCCTGGACTGGTCAAAGCACCTGCAGTGCAAAGAGTGGAAGGAAATGGGATTGGGTGGGCGTCAGTTCAGGACGGGAGGCAGGATGAGTGCAGCTTTTACATGTTGTTTCCCCCTCCCCCTCCCCCGCCCCCACCTTCTCTTTCTCTCTTGCTCTGCAAGTTGTGTCCTGCGAAGTTAAGGTAGTGGCGTGCAACCATGAGAACACTGGGTAGACCTGCTGCATGAATGCTTTGTGTATCAGGACCTGCTGCAATGCTGAGGAGGCAGGCCCGGAGGCCCATTCATGCCGACTCCAGCCCCTGGTGCAGCAGAGCAACGCATGCGCATAGAACGCAAGCTCCCTATGCAGTCGGTGCAGCTGCACCGAAGCATCCAAGGTATCCTGCCTCATGGCCTGATGCTGTGAGCAGACCCTATGCCCGCTGCTGTGATTATCTGAGGCTTTGACACTCACCACACAGCAGCGGGCCAAGCAAGAATGGGCTGCAGAGGGGGGCATGTTTTTCGGCGGCGCATCGTCAGCGGGGGGCCTGAGGCCTCAATGCAGCATATGCGCCCAGCAATCCAATTCACGCGCGTGCACGCACATGGTCCAATGAAGACGTCAAAGACATTCAATGGCGGGCTGGGCTGGGCAAGGGCTGAGATAAGCACATACCAGTAAGCCTCGAAAGGTCTTGGGGCAACCTCCGCTTGACCCGTCCCCATGTTGCCCCTTACCAAGTACGAGATAGCATCTACATACGGCTCTTTCGAGCTGCTGGAAGTCGAATTGTGCCAGATCACGGCAGACGCACAGACTGTGAGGGCCACAGGGCCATAGGCCCGCCAGGCCCACGATCCTGCTTCTGATTTCTGATTCAACAAATAAGGACCAAGTCGCGCGCCCAGAACGCGATTGCGCGCTCACACTTGGGACACCTGAACATTGGCCAGACCGGTAAGCCAGCCGTCATTGCGGATTGGTCATCTTGTGCAACATTGCAGATGATTGTTAGTGCAATGGCCATGCTGCCGCGGTGCACCAAGCTCCCGGGCGCACGCCGCTGCTGGACCCTGTGGGCCAGTGGCCCGTCCTCGAGCACCCTGTGGGCTGTTTTGCCTGCATTGCGGGCAACCCTGCGCCACTCAAGGTGATGAGTCACGCCGTTCGTGTAATATTTGTGCCTAGCGCAGGGGTTGGGCATCAGCGGCTCACCACCTGACGATGTCGGGGCCGATCAACCGACGGGCAATGGCAGGACCAAAAGCGGCGCGGCGGTTCTACCGCTTGCGCTCCTGTCCCAGGCGCTTGCGCGGCTGCTGTGAGTACTTGTAGACAGTGAAGCAGGCATATGCTTGGGGGCTGGCATTCCCATGCGCTGACTATTGAAGGGATGCAATCGCTGCATCCATTGATCGCGGCCCCTGCCACAAGGCGCATGGAGATATACATTCCACACCCGCACGAGGCGTTGTGCGCCCCTGCTCCCCGGTTCCCGGCGGCGCTAACGGTAGCAGTAGTGCATGCAAGGCAGCAGCAGGATACACGCGGTACACCACCCGGCGTGCTGCCGGCAGCTGGCGGCTGCACCGGGCGCGTCTGCACCTTGCACGCACAGATGTACAGGCTCCTTGCCATCCCGTTACCAGCCGACCCCCGTCGTCTGCAAGCCGTCGTCACCCACCGCGTGCCGCCACCACCTGCTGCCCCAGCGCAGCCGCTTCCTGCGCGGCGGTCAACACGAGTTTGTGCACATACACGCACTAGCTGCGGCCGATTACTGCTCCCCTGGCGCCACAGCGACTCCTCCTCAACACAACATTTTTAGAGCGGCCCAGCACAAGGGCAAAGGCCGGGACTGCCGGGTGGCTGCACGATCTCAGACATCTTGCATGGAGGTGCGGCGCGTGATGTGGACGGCCTCAGTCCTGCATGCTGAAGGTGAGGCCTGTTTTGGCAGGAAGCAGTCTAGAGCTCACGATGGGCGCCAGTCCAGCAAAACTGTGCGCCCTCATGCATGCACGGGTGGCTGTGGGCTTGCGCTGTGAATGAATCAGCAGCAGTCGCCTGCACATGCAAGTGGTGGGCACCCCGCCCAGCTCGCCTGAACCCAAGCGGTTGAGCCTCCATCCTGACAACATTCGCGTGCTCACCGCCATCTACCCTCTAGGTTAGATGCCGGCGGCCCGCACACCCTTCAGCACCATCAAATGTCAAATTGCGACTACTCCTTCAGACGACCCCAGTCTGCCCAAGGGTGTGCGTCGGCGCTGGCCGCCCGGTCGAGCAGGCTGAACCCGTCAGCAGGCGCGCCAGCTCCCAGCTGCTGGCGTTGCAGTGGCCGTACGCGCGGCAGTTGCAGCAGCAATGGGGCCCTGCGGGCTGCCCAGCGTCGTGCAGCCACAGGCCAGTGTGTGACCGCCCGCCAGCAGCCGTTGAGAAGTGGCGGTCGCGGACGGAGGGCGGTGCTCGGGTGGGTACGTGTTCCGGAGCTGGCCTCGCTCATGTAGGTGGGCAGCTGCAGGGTGAATGGCCAGAAACTCAGCAGTGTGCGCGGCAGGGCTGAGCACAGCCTCTCAGTAGGGCTTGGCACTCAGGGTGCGCCTGCGCATCACGTGAGCTCTGTGCTCCTGATTCCACGCCGTTGGCGCCCTGTCGCCAACTTGAATGCCTACGGCCTTGCGTGGCTCGCCGTGCCGCATTGCGCCACGCCATGCTGGCAGGGTGAGGTGTACACCAATGCACGCCACTCGGCGCGTTGCGCCGCTGCGGCAGTGATACAGGCTTGCAGCCGTGCATTCGCGGGGAGAGATTGCCAAACGCCCGGGGTTCAAAGCCCAGGCGGCACTTGCACGCTCGCAGGGCCTTTTATGCTTGGTTGCGTTGACTCTGGCTGATGCACCTGTGTCCACTAACTGGAGCTGCCGCAACGTCCAACAGAGCAAGCTCGCGGGCGGCGGCTTGCAGCCCAGCAGCCACCACTGCTCAGAATCGGCCAACTGTGGCGGCCGACATCACCCTGCCGCCAGCACTGGCAGCTGTCGCGCTTCCAACTGTTAGGGCAGCGAGGCGAGGGCATGAGAGCTTGAGCGGGAAGCCCTGCCCTCACTGCTGGGGAAAGCGTGGTGTTGTGTAATGTCAGGGTGTTGTTGAGGCACCGTGCGGACAACGCCCTCACGCGCCGGGTTGGCGCCCTGTGGCTGCAGCACAAGCGGCTTCCCCCACGTGCTGGCACCCTGTTGCCCGGCGCTTCCGTCACCCTACTACTGCTGGATCCCTTCCGCACCCAAATCGTCCCAGCCCCTCCCTTTCAACACATGGATGGCAGCCGCCTGCCTGCCCCTGCAGCTGTTGCCTTCATTTTTCTCCACCCGCAACGCACTCATTAATGTCCCGGGGCCCTGCCACCTCTGTGGCACCCAGCATCAGAAGAGGGGCACGACTATTACCTGTGCCAACCAAACACAAAAGCAGCAAACAGGTGCTGGAGGGATCCCACAATGCAGGTTTTCAACGTGTCCATGGCGTCGTAACGCTTGCATGCTCAGGGCATAGTGCTGTACTACCGCGCTGCCTGCTTCCGAACAGGCGGGCGCCGCAACGCCGGGCGCGGCGCCAGGCCGTGCCTGTCGTGCCCTGGCCGTTCTTCCCCCTGCTGCTGCTGCTGTTGCTGCTGCTGCTGCTGCTGTTGCTGGTCAATCGGCCGAGGCCTTGCATGCTGACCTGGCAATGCAGCCGGCGCCGGAGCAAGCCCCAATTCCACCTCCACCTGCGATGCCGCCTCCGGCGCCAGCGCCGCCAGCGCGCGCGCGCACGCCAGCAGCTGCTGACCGGACAGCAGCGCCAGCAGCCGCCGCGTCGCCGCCGCCGCGGACAGCGCCCAGGCGGGCCCCGGCCGCGCCCCCAGGCCCGCGAGCCCTTCAAGAGACTGCGCCCAGCGCGAGGCGGCCGCCGCCGCCTGCTGCCTGCCGCCAACCCCGTCGCTGCCACCCCCGCCGCCGCCGCCCCCGCCGCCGCGCTCAGCGGCGGCCGCCGCCCCCTCTGCAAGCTCAAGCGCCCGCCGCTGCGCGTCCCCCACCCACGCCGCCGCCGGCCGCAGCCGCACGCGCGGCAGCGCCCACAGCAGCTCCGCGAGCGCGTCCCCGGGCAGCGCCGCCGGCGGCAGCTCGTCCAGCGCGAGCACCAGCGCGGCGCCGCCGGGCGCGCGCCCCAGCCGCGCGAGCGTCGAAATCGCGCGCGCGCGGCGCGCCGGCGGCGCGATCGTCAGCAGCTTGTCGGCGACCTCTTCTTCAAACCGCGCGAGCAGCTCAGGCCCAGGTTCGAGCCCCAGCTCGCCCACCGCCCAAAGGGCGTCCGGAATCTCGCGGGGCGGCAGCTGCTTGACCCGCGCGTTGAGCGCGGCGAGCGCCGCGTCGGCCCAGGCGCGCGGCGGCGGCGCGCCGAGGCGCGCGAGGGTGAAGAGGATCGTGGAGAGGCGGCTCGGGAAGAAGGAGGGCAGCCCGGCGTGAGTCTCCTCGAAGAACCTGGCGGGAAGCCGCGATGGGGGTGCAGGGGTGCAAGTGCAGGGCGCCGCAGATAGGTTGGGGTGAGACCGAGCGGTGGGCATGGGGGAACCCAATGATGGACGCCGTCACAAGAGGGTGCTCACTCCGTCGGTGCCCTGCCAGCGTCTGCCTGGAAGATGCGCGCCCCCCACCGCCTCCCCGTGCGCGGGGACTGCGCGGCCCCACCGCCGGCGCAAAGAGGGACGCCGCGCGCGCGCGTGAGATAGAGAGGCGGAGGGGGAGGGAGGGGGGAGAAGCGCTCGCCTGGCCAGCCAGCCCTGGTTCGGGTGGTATCCGAGCTCCGCCAGAGCCCACAGCAGGCTGGTCTGCTCCTCTGCCCGCGCGAGCGGCAGCAGCGCCTCCGCGCGCCCCACCGCCGCGTCGAGCCACGCGCCGCGCGGGCGCGTGCGGAGGCGCGCGAGGGCCCAGAGCGTGTTGGCGAGCGCCTGGGGCGAGCACACGGGGAGCTTGCCGGTGAAGGCCGTGAGGAAGGCGGAGAGCCACTCCACGGGCGGGCGCTGCGGGGATTGGTTGTTAAGAGAGAGTGAGTGAGTGCGTGCGTGTGTGTGTGTGTGTGTTTTTGTGTGTGTGTGTGTGTGTGTGTGTTGGAAGGGGTTTGCGCGCGCACACGCCTGTGCACGCGTGACCCTTCTTGAGGTTTGGGAGGTGGAAGGCTTGGGCCGGCCCTGGAAGCATCAGATTCACGACAGGGGTGCCACTGCCGGTGCCAGTGCCTCGTGCGCACGCGCGAGCGCAAGAGCGCAGAGCTGTCCAGGCCGTGAAGGTCACCACCGCGTCACGGTGCCAGGACGATGGCACGTCAGGCCCTGACCACACAAACGCACCCCCAGCCCCCGGCCGCACCGCCCTCCGCAGCCGCTGACCCGTCGCGGCCCGGGCGCGCGCCCGCCCCGCGCCTGGAGGCCCCATCCCTTCCTGCCCCGCCCACCTGATTGAGCCGCGCGTGCGCCCAGAGCGTGTTGGACAGCGCCTGGCTGCCAAACCCCGCCTCAAGCTGCGGCGCCGACGCCGCGTGGAACACGCGCATCCACTCCTGCCCCGGCCGCAGGCCGAGCACCGCCAGGGCGTACATCATGGCCGACAGCTCCATGGGGGAGAAACTGGGGAGAAGCTGCTGCGAGTGGGAGAGCAGGTCGGACACGAACCGCTGCTGCGGCCTATAGGAGAGCTTGGCCAGTCCCCTGCAGACCCAGATTGCCGGTTTTAGGCGGAGAAAGCAAGAATCATGATGAGAAACACGGGCGGAGTGGCGCTTGGGGTTATGGGATGCCCAGGTCGGGGCGACGAAGATGGCTGAGCCTGGAGCACCTGACACGGCCGGGCGCGCACAAGCATACGCATGCCCTGGCAACCACTCCTGCACCTTCGGATCTGCATGACGCATGCGCACCCCGCAAAGCGCGCATGTGCCGCCCGCTGCGAGGCCCCGCCTCCCATCATGTCCCCCCTTTTCTACTCGCTGCACCCACACACACCCCCTTGCACCCGCCGAGCACCCGCGAGCCCACCAGGTGAAGTTCGCGCAGCCCTGGGGGCTGAACCTACGAATGCTCTGCTGCGCGCTGCCGACGAGGTGCCCCATCCACTTCGCCGCCGGCCGCGCCCGCGTCGCCGCGAGCCCCCACGCGAGGTTCGACAGCCCCTGCGGCGTGAACTCCCCCCACAGCGCGTCCGCCGCGCCGCAGAACCCGGCCAGCCACTCCGGCGGCGGCCGCTTGCGCAGCGCGCCGAGCGCCCACGCGAGCGACGCGAGGCCGCGGGCGTCGAACTCGTGCCACCGCGCGTCGCTCGCGGCGTAGAACGCGGCCATCCACTCGCGCGACGGCTGCACGCGCAGCGCGGGCAGCGCATGCAGCACCGACGCCAGGTCTGACGCCTCGAAATCGTCCAGCATCGGCAGCGCGACGTGCAGGAGGTCGCGGGCGAAGTCCTCGTCGCGGTATCCGAGGTTGGCGGCGACGCTGAGCAGCACGGAGACGTTGCGGGGGCAGGCCTGGGTGTACTTGCGCTGGAGGTCGGGGACTATGCGCCTTTGGAAGACGGAGACAGCCTGCGGGGCGGGCGAGGGGAGGGGGTGGGCGCAGGTTGGGCACGAGCACACGCGTTGCGGGGGTGCAGGGCGGGCACAAAGGGCGGACGGGCGTCCGGCGCGCTCGGATCGGAGGACTTAGGGACAAATCGCGCCGTGGGCAATCAAAATCTGCGGCCGGGAGACGCCCTTACCCATTCCCTGTCGCGCGCCGTCCCCTGCCGTCCCCGGCCGCCCAACCGCGCGAGCGCCTGCGCTGCTGCTGTCAGGTGCCTTGCAGATAGCGAGTGCCTGTACGCCAAGCAAACTGCCTCCACGTCGCCGACCGAAGCGCAGTTGTTGAACGCGATCGTGATCTGCATCGGCCCCCACCCCGCCGCCTCCGCCGCGACCACGCGCGCCCGCAGCGCCGCGCCGGGCGACCGCAGGGGGCGGCGCACGCGCGGGACCGGGCGCCGGCGCAGCGCCCCCGGATAGGCGGAGCTGGCATCTTCTGCGCGGCCGTCAAAGCTGCTGTCATCGCCGTCGACGCTGCGGCCCTCGAGCGGGGCGGCTGCCAGCCATGGCGGCGCTGCCTCCTGCTCAGCGTGCTCAGCGTGCTCAGCGCGCCCAGCGAGCCGCACGTGCCGGCGGCCCCTGGAGCCCAGCAGGCCGGCCAAGCCTGGAGCGCTGGCCAGTGGCATCAGAACAGGTGGCAGGCGGCTGCCTGCACTGCCGTCCTTGGCGCCGTCGCCGTTGCCGCTGCCATCCCAGCGCAGCTGCTGCTGGTGCTGCTGCTGGTGGTGCTGCTGCTGATAATGATCAAAGTGCTCTGGCTGCTGCTGCTGCTGTTGCTGCTGCTGCTGCCGCAGCTGCTGCTGTGCCACGCCCGCTTCTGCCGCCGCAGTGACGTGCCGCAGCTTCTCAGCCACGCTTGCGACCGCGCCTGACGCTGCCTCAGAAGGTGTTCGAAGACCGCCGCCGCCGCCGCCGCCGCCGTCACCGACGCCGACAACGCCGTTGCCGCCGCTCCTGGCGGGTGTCAAGCCCTCGCCATCAAACACGCTATGTCCGGCGTCGCCAGCGCTGCTGCCGCTGCTGCTGCTGCCGCCGCCGGCCCCTGCTGACGTGGGAAGCCTGTCGTCGCTGCCCCTCAGCTCGTTTGAGGTGATAGGGCCGGCGCCGCTGCCGCTGCGGCAGACGCTAGGGCCCCTCCGCACCAGGACAGGCGGGCGAGCTTGCGGACCACGTCCATGACAGGCGGCTGGCTGCTGCACGCGGCGCGCGTGCACGCACGCAGGGTGCGGCAGGGCGTGCGGCGGCGCGGGCGCGGTGCCGCGGCTGCTACTTCTGCTGCCGCAGCATTTGCTGGGCAAGGCTGTCAGCCGTGTCCCAGCAAACTGCCTACTGGTGGATATGATGCAGTCGCTCCTGCTGCTGGTTCTGCCCCTTGTCCCCGTGCTCAGCATGGGGGGCCTAAGGCGTGCCCGCCACTACGGCCGCCGCTCGTTGTGGCGGCCCCTTCAGCGGCCTCGCGACCCGTGAGCTATTGCAAGCTGAATGCACGCACCATTCAACTAGCTCATATACGTGCCGCACATCAGCAGTCGCCCGACGATGATTCCCGGTGGCGCTGTCAGGCAGAGTGCGCTCTACTCGAGGTCAGCTGCAGCAGCGCTGCGTGGCCGCCACCGTTTGCTGTCGCAGCAGCAGTGCGGGCTTATATGAGACTGCAACCACGTTGTAGGTACGCTGTCGACAGTTGGGCGTGTTCTGGCTGTGATGATAGGTTGCACACAAGGTTGCTTCTTATCCACGGTCAGATCGATCGCTTGGCTGACCAGAGCAACCTTCCATGTACATTTCGATATATCGGTAATAGAGTTGAGCTGCCCTCCCCGCTTTGCCCGAAGTTGATACGATCGATCGATCGACCCCACTGATGCCACCAGAGCCCAGGCACCCACCCACCCACCTGTGACACCCCTCACTGCGCGAACAGCAACGCGCATCTACAATTGCTGTATAATTTCGCCAACTCATAACAGCTACATAGCACTTAACTGCCCCCACAGAGCGATCCGGCGCGCGATCGCCATGGCGCAAGGCCACTGTTTGCCGCGCCAGCTCGGCAATTTGGGCGTTTGTGCACCTAGGGTGCCCCTCACGCCCAATGGTCGTGCAGCGCCGAGGACACAGGCAGTGCAAGTCGTCGCAGAGCTCGGGGCCATTATTCAGACAGCTACCAACACGATAGCTGCCGCTTCGGGACCTTTGGAGCCCGTGGTTCAGACTGTGGGCGGCGACATCTCTTCCGTGCTGGACCTCCAGCCAACGCTGCCCGGCGTGGCGCGTCTGTCGGTGAGCGCGGTCCACACAACATTGACGCGGCGGCGGCCATGTGTGCGGTCCTTCGCGCCTAGGAATCCACATTCTTACCTGCGAGATCTTCTGCAGCAGCTCACCCGACGCCGCAAACTTCAGCCTCCCAAACGTCGCAACAGTTGCAAACCAGCTTGGCCCCCGCCCGCCTCGTGCCACACGCCCGTTGCGCTAACCAATGCTGCGCCGCGCCCTCACGCCCGCATCCCGCCCCTCCCCGCGCCTTCAGGCACTGTTCTACGTACTTGGCGGGCAGCCCAACCCGTTGACAGGGCTGCTCGACTTCTTCGTCCTCGGCCCCGCGACCAAGGCGGCATCTGGCAAGCTCAGGGCAAAGGACTTTGTCCTCCGCGACAAGTGAGGACGGAGAATCTTTTCCAAATGCCGGCCAATCGGCGGCCTTGCTTGTCTAGCACCGAAGCGTCCTGCCCCACGAACGAGCCCTGCAGACGGGCAAAGCCGTGCTTGCGGGCTGCAGCGGCAGGGCCCAGCTCCGCCTTGCAGCTGCACATACCATCGCGCAGGCCCCCCGTGCACTCGAGCATCTGCTGTGCTACAGGTGGCAGCGAGCGCCGGGCCGCCTGCAGCAGCTCAGGCAGGTGTCACACTGCGCCCCCTCCCCGACAGGCTGGGCGGCGGGAACTTTGGGGTCACCTATGAGGCGATCAAAGTCAAGGTGAGCGGGCGTTGCCACGGCGCGGCATATGCTGCCAGATTTTGTCCTGGGCTTCGCACCCGAGCGCGGCACGGGATGGCACAGGGGCCCTGTCCAGCGGGTGGCTTGCTCACCCACGGGGCTCGCCCCTGGCGCCTGGCACCCCGGCGGCCTGACTCCCCCACACTGTCAACCCACCCTGCCTCACCCATGCACACGTGCACACGCGCGCCCCTCCCGCCTTGCCAGCCCGGGGAGACGGTGTCGCAGCGCAGCTCGCTGACGCCGGAGCAGAAGCAGCGGCGCGTCGTGCTGAAGCGCGTGAACATTGACCGCGCGGGCGTCAGGCAGGACTTCCTGCGCACGGGCACGATGGCTAAGGGCGCGGCGGAGACCGGGGCGGTGGAGAGTTACATGTGCGCCAAGGTGAGGGTTCTGCAGGCAGTGTGGCGGTTGGCGCGGAGGCACGGGGAGCGGTGCGGCCCTCTCATCAGGGGCAGCGCGGGGGTTGCTGGGCTGGGGTGTTCTGTGCTGGGCAGCGTGGAGTGTGGCATGAGGCGGCACTGGGGTTTACACTCCCCGGGGGCCCCTCTTGTCCAGCACACAGGCCCGCGCGCCAGCCCCTGCCACTCCCACCTCCTGCGGGCTGCGGGCCTGTGCGCATGTCACCCTCAAATGAGGCTTCGTCGCGCAACCGCAGCGCTTCCCACCGAAACCCGGCGCCGCCGCCGCTCCCCCCTCCCCCCTCCCCCAGGTGAAGCGCAACCCCCTGGTGGCGGCCAACTGCGCTGAGTACCAGGGCTACTTCATTGCGGACGAGACCATCGGCAACATGCAGCGCGGCACGCAGTGGCTGGTCTGGCGTTTCGAGTCTGACAGCACGTTGGCTGGTGCGGGGCCCTGGGGCTTGGGTGGGGCGGGACATGGGGATAGGAAATGCTGGCGTGGCTTAAAGGTTGCGCACGCCGCATTCTGTGGTGGGGTTGCTGTTCGACACACGCGCGTGCACACACACACACACACACACTCACACTCACACACACACACACACACACTCTCACACTCACACACACACACTCACACACACACACTCAAACTCACACACACACACTCACACAAACACACACACTCACACTCACACACACACACTCACACTCACACTCACACACACTCACACTCACACACACACATGCGCATGCAAACACACAAGCACATGCACACACGCATGCACATGCACACACATACACATGCGCGCACTCGGGCCCACACGCACGCACGCATGCAAGACAAGACACTCACACCTCATTGCACACGCTCCTCCCCTCAGACGGCCTCGACGGCCTGCTTGGCAAGTTCCCCGAGTCCCTGGAGGCGCTGGTGATGGGCCGCGTGGACGAGGACGGGGACCCGGAGAAGCGGGAGGCGAAGGTGCGCGGTGCTCGCTGTGTGACAACAGCAGCAGCAGCAGCAGCAGCAGCAGCAGCGGCGGCGGCGGCGGCGGCGGCGGCAGCAACGGCGGCAGTACCAGCAGCGGCCACGGTGGTGACGGCGGCGGCAGCAGCGGCAACAGCAGTTCCAGCGGCAGCAGCTGTGCCTTGGAAGGCCGTGGGGCCAGCCGGCGGCCCGCCTTGCTCTGCCCCGCGCTGGACGGTGGGCGGCCTCAGGACGGCGGTTGCGCTCGAAGGAGGGCTGCACAAACGCGTGCAGTAAGGCCGCTGCGGCTCACATGGCCCGTGCCTGCTTCGGTCTTCCCCCCTTCGTCTGCTTTGCCCAGGTGATCAAGTCGATTCTGAAGCAGGTGCTCGTTGGCGTCAAGGGGCTGCACTCCATGGGCATTGTGCACAGGGACATCAAGCCCGGTGAGGGGTGGCAATCGGGCCGCGGCGGGGCAACCGCACTAGCATTTAATGAGCTTTGGAGAGCAGCAGCAGTGGCCTGGCAGCTGGATCAGCGCCGGCCGTCCAGGCGGGGCAGTGGGGCCAATCCCAGGAGGCGCAGTGGGAAAGCAGTCCAAGCGGAGCAGTGGCGGTGCGGGCGGAACAGGGCCTTGGAACCTTGAGAGGCGTCTGTGCAGCATGAAAATGCAAGGCGACACCGCGCGCCCGAAGGTGGCGCACAGCACAGCGAATTCGCAGGGTCTTGAGGTACAGGCCTTGCACAGGCACATGCGTGCAAACGCACAATGCTGACACCCCGCCCGCCCGCATGTGCGCGTTCGCGCGCGCGCATGTCACCGCAGACAACCTGCTGATCACTGCCGAGGGCAAGGTCAAGATCATTGACTTTGGGGCGGCGGCGGACATGAGCACCGGCATCAACTTCAACCCGCTGTACGGCATGCTGGACCCGCGGTACTCGCCCCCTGAGGAGCTCATCATGCCGCAGGGTGGGTGCCAATGGCGCGCGCGAGCGCGGACGAGCGCGAGCGGACGAGCGCATGTGTGTGTGGGTACTGGCAGTCGTGTCGGGCGCGCTGTGGCTGGTTGGCCAGAGGAGGATTGCGGTGGCGTGTGCACGTGCTTGCTTGCACGCGCCCAAGTGCGCATTCGCACGTGTCTTGCACCTCGCTGTTGCATTGCTGACATGAACGTGTGCGTATGCGCATATGGGCGACTGCCGGCGGCGGGCGTCTCACCCTGCCCCACCCTTGCGCGCCCGGCCCGCACCTCAGACTTCCCGCGCGCCCCCAACCCCGGGGTGGCCGCCCTACTGGCCCCCCTGGCGTGGGTCTATGGGCGCCCGGACCTCTTTGACTCTTACAGTGTCGGCGTCCTGCTGATGCAGGTCGGTTGCCTGGGTTGCAGGGAGTGGGGCTCACCCTTGTTCTGGGCGGCCTCGCTCGCACGCGTGCGAGGCTGTCGGCTGGTCCTGTTAACCGGCAGCGGCTGTTCACAAGCCGCGGGTTCGTCGCCCCGGCGGCCAGCGGACCAGCAGCCGCACGCTGCTGCTGTGTAAGCTGTGCATGCGTGCATCAAGCATGGCACCAGCCCTCGGCCCTGCCTTTCTGAAGACGCGCCGTTGTGCCGCCGCCGCAGATGGCGGTGCCGCAGCTGCGGTCCAGCGCCAACATCCGCATGTTCAACGCCCAGCTGCGCAGCTGCGACTACGATTTGGAGGTGAGGCGTACGGCGGTCTCGGGGGCTCCCAGAAGCCCAGGGCCGCGGCCACATGGGCGCCTGCCATCAACCCGCTGCCTTGATGCTGCCTGTCGCCGGTGCAGGACGCGCCATTGGGCACGCCCCCGGCGCACTTGTGCCACCACCCTCGGGCCTGCGGCGCCCCGTGCCCACCAGCCACCGCGCCGCCCCCGCCCCCCCCCCCCACGTGCAGAGGTGGGCGCGCGGCCCCGGCCGCAACATGGACTTCACCCAGCTGGAGCGCCAGTCGCGCGCCGGCTGGGACCTCGCGGCCAAGCTGCTCGCCAAGCGCGGCTCGCTCAACCGCGGCCGCCTGAGTGCGTCGCAGGCGCTGGGGCACCGCTTCTTTTCGAACCCTCTCTTTGGCTGATGGGCGTGCGCATGCCTTGAACCTACGGCGGGGGCGGCCGCCCACTTGGCCACTAGGAGGTTGTCAGCCTTGAGCTGAGGTCGTGCCTCGCCGCTGCAGCAGGCGAGCACTGGCTCCGATGCACTTGTCGGCCTGATTTTGGGTGCACATGTGCTTTCCCAGCGCCCTCGGCGCGCTGGCAGCGTCGGCCATCCACCCCTCGAGGTCAGTTTGAAGGCGGGCTTCAATTGAGGAGCGGAGTGTGCGCAAGCGGCGTTGGCGTCTCGACAGGGGGCGCTGGTGATGCACGCCGCCCGAGCAGCTCGCCTCTGTCGAGGTGCAACACGCGGAGCCTGGAAACCCGCGCCCCCGAGCAGCTGTGCGCTGGATGGTTGGAGGCGCGTCGCTCCAGCCCACAGCTTTGCAGCCTCACGGGACCACCTTCTTTGTGGTGGAGGGCAAGGGCCGGGAGAGAGAGAGAGAGGGCAGGTGTTGAGCTGGTGAGAGTCATGCCAAGTTCGCATTTGCCGCAATGGGCCCGGTCAGGCGGCCTTGGCACACCCTCAAGTGTGCGCCCGCAGCGGCGCATGGTTGCAGGGCGAGACACATTTATATGCGCCTGGTTTGCAGATTGAGTGGCCGCCTTTGCGCCGCGGCCGCTGCATGTGCCTGCGATGTGTTCACTTCTTTTCTGATCTGGAGAACGGCGCCGTCCCCGCACACATTCCTGTCTCATAGCGGCACAACATGCACATCCAGGGTGCATAGCACGCGTGCACGAATGTACATAGCTGCGGCACTCACGAGTTGTGCACGCATGTGCACGCCCGCCAGCAGCCGCACGCCGAAACCCGTGCCTGCTGCAGTGACTGGGGCACCTGCTGCCATTCTTGCAGCGGCCAAAATCTGCCCATGTAGACTGAGATTTCTCTCGCAGCAGAACAAGTGGTAGTCCCAATCCAATCGAGACACAGATGTTTGGATTTTTTTGTAATCGATGTCAAGTGGATGCAGTTTGCACGGTTGTATGGGGAATATGTGGGGCTGGCATCGCTTGGAAATTTTGGCGTGCACTAATCCAAGCCAGCACTCCTCGCAGCCCTGCAGACATGCCATATGCAGTACTCCAATCTGCGCATGCTGCAGGTGGAAGCCTTGATGTCTGATTAACATCAATCATCGTGCGTTGCTGGCTGTACTCCTGCTTGTCAGCCCAGGGACGGTGTGCGTGCTTTGACCGAGCTGGTCACTCAGTGTCGCCCAGCACACCAGGGCCCAGCAAACCAGAGCCCAGGCGGTTGTTGGCGGCGGCTGTTGATTCAGGAAGGTTGCAGGATTCAGCTTGATTTTGTTGATCAGTTCGTGTCATTCTGCAAGGGGCTAGCTTGCCATATTGGCGCTTTCGTTCATCCTTGCGCGCCATCATGTCGGATGATCGGGACGCGCCTGGGACCTCTCAGCCTCTCGACCAGGTCACCTCAGTCGACTCGAAAACTCTATACGTCGTGCCTGTGCCCGAGAGCACGACCACCGCGGCCCTCACGCAGGCCTTTTCACAGGTGAGCGTAAAAGCCGCCAATACCCGCGCCTACCTATTTGAATTGGGTTGTAGTACCGTTAATGTGGCAACGGGAGTAGCAGAGGGCGGGCCTGCATCAGGCGCGGTCCAGCCTCTCTTCCAGTACCAGCCTGCGTCAGCAAAGCGCCGGCCCGTGTTCGCACCTCTGCTCCCACCTGCCCCCCCACCCCCTGCAGTTCGGCACACTTGCGTACGTCCGCGTGCTACAGGAGAAGCATACCGCCTTTGTTGCCTTCACCAGCCAGGATGCAGCCGCCGCCGCCCGCAAGGCCACCGATGGCATCCTGCAGCTGCCAGGCCAGGAACGAACCCTGGAGGTGAGGGCTGGCAATCAAATTTGATGTTCAATTCACACGCGGATCATAGGCTGTGCGCTAGCAGCTCATGTTATAGCGGCATCAAACCAGCCACGCTCTGGCAGGCGGGTGGGCAGCAGGATTTAGCGCTGAAGTGGCAGCAATCGTTGCATCGGCACGGACGAGCAAGGTCACCACTGGCAAATGCTGCAGCACACCACACACACACACACACACACACACACACACACACACACACACATACACACACACACGCACACGCGCACACACACACACACACACATACTCACTTCTGGTCACGATGCTTACCTGACTTCAACAAATACACCAGGTCCGCTATGCTCGCAAGCGGCAGCCTCAACAGCTGCGGCTTCAGAATGAAGCCCAGCGCTGGGCCCAGCAAAATCAAGAGCAGCGGGCATTCATACACCACCACCAGCAGCACCAGCACCAGCACCAGCACCAGCACCAGCACCAGCACCAGCACCAGCACCAGCACCAGCAGCAGCAGCAGCACCAACAGCACCAAGAGCAGGAGGAGCAAGCGCAGGGCCAGCAAGAGCACGAGCAGGAGCAGGAGCAGCAGCATGTACAGCAGCTGGAGCAGCAGAGCTACCATCAGCAGGGCTACCATCCGGCCCACCAGCAGGGCTACCACCAAACCCACCACCAGCAGTGGCAGCACGCGCAGCAGCAGGGCTTCGGGTGCGCCACCCCCATGCAGCAGCATGCCATGATGATGCAGTACCATGCGGGTGAGCACGGGGGCCGCGGGCCCTTGCCTGATGACCCTTATGTGCATGCAGGAGCCCATGCGGAGCCTGGGCGGGCACGCCCGTCCACGTATGCTTCATGCCGCCCCACATGCCGGAATGCTCATGCGTGCCATGCATGCGGTCCTGCGTCCAAACCGTCGCATCCTCATATCCGTCGCATCAATGATCCTGCCGGCCCCCTCCTGGCCCCTCCAGGCATGCACGGCAGCGGCGCATGGCCCGTGCCCTCCATGCAGGCTGGCATGGGCCTCATGCAGCCAGGGCTCACGGCCCCGCCCTACATGGCACCCATGCCCGGCGCCCCCGGGACCTACATCCCCTGCTGCATGCCCTACCCCGCCGGCGGTGCTGCTGTATACATGGGCGCGTACCCGCCGCACCGCGCGCACGTGCCCCCAGCCGCCACCAAGCCGGCGGCGCTCGACACGCCGCCGCCTCGCTGCGACCATGACACCTTCAAGCTCTATGTTGGCAACGTTGCCGTGCACTGCTCCGTGCAGGTACCTTCGCATGGCTGCTTTGAAAGGACCTGGGGCGAGTCCAGCGCAGCATGCATTCTGGGCCCGATGGCGCCCCACTGCGCCAAATGCTCTTGCTGCTTCGCGCTGTCGCCCATGGCTAGCGAATAGCCGGCCGCAACGAGGATCGCAAAGCACGCGACCAAACGCATGGACCCATTTCACTTGCAAGAGCACGGCCCCGCCACGTCCCTGCAGGACATCGCCGCCCTCTTCATGTCGGCGGGCTGCCGCGTCGCGGAGGTGGTGCTGCTGCGCGACCGTCAGACGGGCGTCCCCAAGGGCTGCGCCTTCGTCTGGTGCCCGACGCGCGCCGAGGCTGCCCACGCGCTCCGGGCGCTTCACGGCTGCCGCCAGCTGACTCCCGGCGGCCCAGCAGTGGGCGGCGCGGGCGCGCATGCTGCGCAGCCTGCGCTGGTCGTGCGGAGGGCCAACCCCCCAGGGCAGCGAGGCCAGGGGCCGCCCCGGCCGCAGAACGCGCGGTGGCACGACGGCAGCGGCGGCGCCTTGAGCAACGGCGGCCACGGCGGGGCCGGCGGTGGGGAAGGGGGCACCAGCAACAGCGCGCCGAGCGCCCGCAGCGGCGGCGACAATGGCAACGGCGCGCCGCCCGGCGTCGACGGCAACAGCGGCGGCCGCCAGCTGCGCATGACCGTCGCTCCAATGCAGCTGCCTGGGCATTCAGTGGCAGGGGCAGCGCGGCCAGGCTGTGGCAGCGGCGGTGGCGCGGCTGTGATGAGCTCGGCGCTGCTCGCCCAGATGAGCATGCTCATGGCACATCAACAGGCAGCAGCCACGGCATCTCAGCAGCAGCAGCAGCAGCAGCAGGAGGAGGAGGAGGTTGCGGAGGAGGAGGAGTGTGATCAGCAGGCGGCAGAGCGAATTAGGCAGCGCCTGCGGCGGCACCAGGCATCCGCGCCTCAAGATGATCCGGCCCCGCCAGCGCCACTGCCGGCGCCGCAGCAGCGGTTGCGACAGCAGCAGCAACAGCAGCAGCAGCAGCAGCAGCAGCAGCAGCAGCAGCAGCAGCAGCAGCAGCAGCAGCCAGAGCCCCTGAACTTTCACCCTCAGCATCCAAGTGGGGCGGCAGCAGCCTCGCCACCCACTGAGCAGCCCAGCCCTCCACTCGCGCCCGGGCAGCAAACCTCTGCCCCTGGCCATAACATGTCACACGCGCCTGACACCGGCGCCGCTTTGCAGTTTGGAGGCGGCTCATCTGGCAGCACGTGCACCAGCGCGCCCGCCATGCGGCCAGAGGGATCGCTGACCCCGGTGCCCGAGGCACCGCTGCCTGTGTCAATCAGCGGCCCCGTGCCGCCACCAGCAGGCGCCGCCGGCGAGCCCGCCCTTCCCGACGCCGGCGCTGCCGCCGGGCCGCCGCTGCCACCGCCGCAGGCCGTCTGCGCTCGCGTGGTGCTCAGCGCGGCGCAGATGGCCATGGTCGCCCCGCATCTTTCCGTGATCAGCAGCTCCAGCGGCGCCGCGGCCGACTCAGTGATGATGGCGCCGGGGCTGTTTGCGGTCGAGCTGTCTGGGAGCTGCCCGGAGGTCTCCCTGGCTAGGAGCATGTTTGACAGCCTGCTTCACACGGCGTAACAGGCTGCACGCGGAGAGGTGCAGGTAGCGAAAGCTCTGGCACGGCCTCCTCGCTTCCTTACTTGCGTGCCGTGACCGGGCCTGCGGCCTGGCCGGCAGGGGCCCCAGGCCGGCGGCGCCCCTGCCGCAGCGCGTCTGTGCCTCGCGTGCCACGGGCGTTCACCTGATTTGAGGCGTGCCTGGCTTCTACCCTGCCTGTGCGACACGGCGTCTTGTCGCATGCACCTGATCGGGGGCGGCGCAGCGCTTGGCCTGGCTTGCGTTCCATTTCTCCCTGATAGCAAGCAAGCGGGCCAGCAACAGCAACGCCTCAGCACATCCAATGGGAGCGTATGGGCTTGCACATGCGCGGCGCTCGTGCGCGCGCGCTCGACGTTCGCTCAAAGCTTTGCAGCTCGCTCGTCGATCGCGCACGCGGCGAGATATCGCGCCGTTCTGCAGTCTCAGCGCAGCTAGGCTGGTACAAGAGCTGCTACCAACCCAACCGCCTGGGGCTCCGCCACTCGCATTGCGGCCCCGGATCCATGAGTGCAGGGCGCGTCCCGCATCTCTTGGACCATCCCTCGTATCACTGTTCCCTGGGGATCACGACTTGTGGTGATCGCCACAACCATAATTGCCCCTCCGCGCGCCGGGGACCGCGAACCCCCCGGCGTCACTGTGCGGTGCCCAGGGACCTGGGGCGTGATGTGCCCAGAGGAGAGCTTTAGATCCCTTTGGTGGGCACGGCGCCTCGCTTGGTCACTCGCTGCCGACGCGCGCGCGCCGCACCACGCCCCCTGCCCCGGCCAGCGCCGCAGCATACGAAACCAATCGTAGAGGAGCAACTCCTGCACCACAAACCATATACTATGAATGTTCCCACTGGCGTCGCCCGCAATGCACGAACGCGCAGGCAGCCGTGCCTACGGGACCGCCCATACGGCCTGAATCGGCTGCCGCACGTCCATCCGGCTCCCCCATAACTCGCGCCGCGCAGTGTCTGGTGGGTGCCTTCCTCCCGCTGCAACTAACGCCGCCACCTGCCACTCCTATGTACGCGCATCTGGGCGTGATGTGCACAAATAAAAACCGCCGAAACTAGGCTAGGTCATTCAACAACAGCACCCGGCTGGGACCGCTTGCCGTCACGCAGTGGTGACGCCCTGCTTTTGTCCAGTAGCTTCGCGGTGCGTTGGACCGCCTGGTCCCACCCGCTTCACAGTGTTCTCTCCTGCCTGCTGCTTCGCACTCTGGTAGATCCTTCGCCGACCGCCGATCGATACATTTCACTTTTTCATGGCAATTCCAACGGGCTTGCAAGACCCCCCATTCCCGTGGGCCGAACCTTGCCTACGCGCGTCGCGAGCGCTGAGCGTCGAAGGGTGCACGCTCGGCCGCTCGGGAGCGCCCGCACTCCTCTGCAACTGCGCGAGCGGCTTCGTGCTGTTTGGGGCGCGGCACGCTCGGAATCGGATGCGGAAGCTGCCCCAGGCATCCCGCCTCGCCCAGCCGTTGTGAAAGTGCACGCAGCTCGCCGTCTGCCGTCGCGCGGAAGGCTGCGCCGACTCCCTCGGTGCGGCTGGGCGGCGTCGCGCTGGCAAAGCGCGGCTACTTTGGCGCGCGCCGCGCCGCTGGCCCGCTTGGAACGCGAGGTGTTATTTACACGTCCAGGTGTGCCCGTTCGGCTGCCGTCTGCAGGTTGAGGATGGCCGCTTGTTTCCACCCCCCATCGCCCGCCCATCGGGCGCGTCCAAGAAATCAAGGCGCCACCTGGGCCGGCTAGACGCCACCCAAGTGGCCTCGCGCAAGACAAATAAGGAATGAACCCGTCGCGCGCCAACAAAACGGAGGCGCGATGCTTGCATGCATGCAGGCGGCCGCAGTGTGCGCGCGACGTGGGGGATAGGGCTGGCGCCCGCGAATGCCCGAGCGCGTCAAAAGGGGCGCGGTCTCGGCAGTCGAAAGGGCGCCGGTCAATGCTCAGGCAGGGTGCGCGTTGCGCCAGCAGGCTCGGGTTCTTTGCGGCTCAAATACGGGTGCATTACTTGCCAGCGAAAAGCCGTACAAATGCGATCGCCCGAACAGCGGGCGCGTGCGGGCCAGCTGCGCGAGTGCATAGCTGCTTCGCGGGCGACAGTTAGCCGCGGGACGCCGCCGCGGCTTTCACTGCCAACCCCTCTTCCCCCCTCAGATTTAGGCGTGCACAGGTCAGCGATTGCCGCCAGGCAGGCGCGCGGAAAAGCAGGCAGCCATGTCGTGAGCAGTTGCCGAGGCCTGGACGACGCGCCGCCCCGACCGCGGCGGCGGCGGTCGGACCGGCCCCGTCGCGCGCGCCCCGGGCCGGGGCCACGGGTTCGCCGCGGCGAGACCCGGGCGCCAGCTGGCCGGGGCGCCGCGTAGTTTCAGGTGCTGAGCGGTGCTGTGGATCGAGCGAAGCGCTTAAGGGCTCGGCACTGCTGGCCGCGAATCCCAATTGACATCACCAGGCAGTTTCCCTAGCGCGGGGGCGGGGTAGCCAAGCCCCGCCCCCGCGCCTCTCCCAACTCTTGTGCTCGCGCGCTTGGCCCGGCGGCGCTGCGGGGTCAGTGTGCGGGCTGGGCGCAGCGGCGCGGGGCGGCGCGGTCGCGCGCCCGGGGTGCTTTGCTATTCGAGTCGTGCAGGACAGGATCAGCGAGAGTGCGGCTGGGGCGTCGCGGCGCGCGGCGAAGAGCGTGCCCGTCCCGTCGCACAGCCCCCGTGAGGGCGGCCCTAGCAAGCCGCAGGTTTCAGTGCCTCGCGCAGCGTGGCCGCGCGAAATGCATGTACAAACCTAGGCGGCTGGCCGCGGCCCGCGGGCCGCCCCCGGGGGGCGTGAGTGCCGTCGGCGTGCGCATGAGTGCTGATCAAGGTGCGTGACTTAGATTGTAAACATGCGTATGCCGGTCTGCAAGTTAAACTCATGGGGTTGCATGTGGTTCGATTCGCCCGACGAGCGGCCGGCGCGAGGCCGGGGCCTTTGGGGGGTTCTGGCGGCGATTGGGGGGCCGCAGCAGGCAAAAGGGCTGGTGCGGGGGACGATTGGGTCAACAAGGCGGGCCGCGTGCTGGTTGCCGGGGGAAAAAGTAAGCTCGCACGCGGGGCGCCCCGCCGGCTGGCGCGGGCGGTGCGCCGGGCGCCTGGATGGGCGCGCGGCGGCAGGGGCGCCGGGACGCGTCGGGCGCGAGGGGACGGCCGATGAGAACCACGCCCCGCGCCGCGGCGCGCCGCCGGTAGGCCCCGCGCCCCAAGGCGGGGGCGGCAGAGCACTTGCGTTGCGCACGCCGCGCGTCTCTCGCACTTCCGAGGATTGTTGGCCCGATTTGGGGGGGATGGGTCTTGCGGCGGCGCGATCTGCGTCTGTGGGAGCCACGAATCGAGCAGGAAAATGGGCCGCTGCCGCCTCCAAGTGAGAGCGGAGCGGCCGGGGTGAGCAGTGCTGCGAAACAAGGGGGGCGGCGGCCCGCGCCGCTCGCCGCGTGCGCGCGGATTCGATGCGGGTCCCGGCCGCGGCCCACGCAAGGGGTGCGAGGGGGACGTGCGCGCGGCAGCGCCATGGATACTGGCAGAAACTGGAGAAATTGGGCCATGCGTGGGCTTCTGATTCGTTTGAGGGGCCAGCCCTGGGGCCAGCGTAGGGCGGCCAGGCGCGCCGGCCCGCCGGCGCGGCCGCCGCGCCTCGGCTGCCCGGCACGCCGCCGATAAGCAGGGCTGTTCTTGGTCAACTGGACGTGCACCGGCCGAGCCGGCTATTTGGTTTGCGAGCCAACACGGCCGCGGGGGGCGGCGGGCCCGCGGCGGGCCCGCACGCCCAAGAAAGCCGCCCGCGTCGAGCGGGCCGATTGGATGCCGTCCCACCGCGCGGCACGCGCCCAGCAAACAGCATGCCGATGTGGCCCCGCGCGCACGAGTGCGCCGCGTGCGGCCGAGCAGGCTCTGCCGGGCGCTTGCGGACGAGGTGGATTCGGGTCAGGGGCGTGACTCATGGGACTTGGTGAAGGGCCGAGGAAGTTATGTAGTAGGTGCCCCCCGGGCTGCCAGACCCCCAGCTGTCATCAGATACAAACATGAGCGGCCCCGCCGCGCCCGCGCTGACGGCCGGTGCGCCGCCGCCAACGTGCGCGAGCGGAAGCAGCAGGGGCGGCCCCGCCAGCTGCGCGCCGTCCCAGCCGCCGCCGGCAGCAAACAGGCCGGCGGCCATCGCCTGAGGCTGCGGCGGGGCCGCCGGCGGCGCGACCGACGCCGCGATCGCGGCGGCGGCAGTGGCGGCGCCGAAAACGGTGGGCAGCTGCTGCTGGTCGTGGTGCGGCACCACGAGCGCAAACGCGCCGCCCGCGCCGCACTGCTGCGCCTGCGCGGCGACCGCCGGCGCGTACATGGCAGCAGGCGCCGCCGCCGCCGCCGCCGCGGCGGCGGCGGCAGCGTCAGGGGGAAGGATCGACGTGGCGTAGAGGAGGGGCGCCGCGCCTGCCAGAGGCGCGTGGAAAGGGGCGGCGGCGGCGGCGGGCGCCGCGCCGCGCGCCCATGCAGCGGCGCCGGCCGCGGGCCCGTAGGCCAGCTGATGCTCCTCGCCGCCGCGCCGCAGGGCGTGCTGCTGCTGCGGCGCGCGTGGAGGCGGCGGGGGCGGCTGCGGCTGCTGCCGCGGCGGCGGAGGGGGGAGCGGGTACTGCGCGTGCTGGGCGGGCAGCGAGGCGGGCAGCGCGCCGCCGTCGACAGGCTGCATCAGGGCGCGGAGCACGGTCATGGCCACGCCCTCTCCCGGCTGCGGCGTCGCGCGCGCGTGCGCGGCCCAAGAGCGCGTCACGGCGCCTGCAGGGGGCGAGCGGGGCGAGAGGGAGGCGAGGGATGTTGTGAGGGTCGATGTTTAGGGGACGCCGCGCGGCGCGCGGGCCACGTGGATGGGAGTTGATGGAGCCTGGTAGCGTCCCCGCAGAGGTGGGGTCGGGGAGGGGTTGTTGGGTCGGGGCTGGTTG